TTTCATATAATTATATCAATAACGTGATCACTGCAAATAGGTATATGTTCAAACAACGGAATATTTAGCAAACAAGTTACATAAAAATCCCCCATTCTGTACGGATTGCCATTTACAAGTCATTGGGTAGATTTGTTTTGGTGAATTACACCAACCCTTCCACGATTAGACGATCTTAAGATACAATCGCTAACATTGTTTAATACTTGTATCTATTTGAATAATGAAGGCTCAAATGATTACAATTAATCATCATCAAACACAGAGAAATGTTGTACGGGTCAATAATATTAATAATAAATTCATCACCTTACTGGTTAATGTGAAGTATTCAAGTAATAATCAAACTGATATTAACAGGTTGTATGCCCCCTTGGACTGAATACAACAACCATTGTTACTTGAAAGGTCAGACGAAGGTCACGTGGTCGGAAGCTAAGGTTAGTTACATACTGTAATAGTTGTTACTCTCACGTTTTGATTGGTCAACAAATTACCGCATTGGAGGCATTTATATGTACATGATCATGTAAAAAAGATTATTCAGCCGTTCACTCTAAAAGAAGTTTTACTTGTTGTTTTTGAAATAAGATATTAGATTAAGAAAAACTGGTAATCATTAATAATCCATTTAGTCATAACAGCAAGTCAATGACTATCCTGGTTAGTAATTGTAAACATAATAAGTAATAAAAATGAATTCATTTACTTATAAAATGGAAGATACTAAGTAGTATACTTTCTATCTACTAAATTTTATTAATTATTACTAAGTAAATGTAATACTTGAAATTTATTAAAATCTAGAATATTATGACCTAAAAGACTACTAAGTAATGAAATATATTCACTAAAATCCACATTATTTACTAGAAACACTGCAAGAACTACATGTACATATGTAAAGATAAAAGAAACAGCTTTGTAATTTTATAAAAATTTATTAATCAATATCTTATATGGATATCCAAATAGCTTAAAGTACTGCTACTTAATGCATACATACATAGTTATAAAATTTACAACACCATGCATCAAAAATGTGTAACGTTATATGCAATTTATTACATTATAATTAAGGAGGAAAAAGTTTAACTGAAGGAAAAAATGTACACATTACATTGTGGCCAATGCATTGAATCCTATCTTTTGACAAACAAAGAGAACAGCATATGGAAAAAGTTTAAACTATTCAGCTACAAATTCATCATGAAAAAATAATAATTTGGCATTTTTACATAATAAATATAAAAGAAATTTAGTGGTGGCAAAAAAAAAATATTATTATTAAATATTTGAACTCAGGCCAAAATAAAAAAAAATACCTTTGTTTCCCCTAACGCGACCGACCCAATTAAATCGCGCCAACTGAAAAGATTTTTTAAATAAGATGATTCAGATATTTTTGTTATTGTTAACCAAGTTTTATAAATACAATTTCATCAAAATCAGTTTTTATCAGAACGGTCAACATTGTCCTACTGTGATTTTCAAGCATTTGTTGGAAACAAAATGGCGCCCAGCTGTGATTACAGAGAATTAGTTCTTCATAAAACAACGGAGACGTCCTAATCTTATGCCCTTAGAATTCTTCACTCTTAAAAAAATTCGATAATAAAATTGACCATGACTAATTAAGAGTGTTTCGGAGGTGTCTTGGCGTCTCCATGTGAGTGAATAAATTTTTGAAAGGGGCTATAAATAACAAACAAACCTACTTGTTGAATTTATCATAATTATGAAACTGTGTTATTGACCTAGTCTATAAATTGGGTTGCTATATATCATATCATTATGGAACCATACGAGTTGTTGTAAATATGTCTGCATATTCATCCTAATTCAGGAGTCTTTTCTTTATGCCTTTATTCCTGGGTTAAACTTCGTGACTATGACACTGTATATAGCATTTTTATCATTTGTAGATTCGGTTTGGTTCAATCAAATATTGTTCACATACTCTTTCATGATAATTTAACTTTTGAACATGTTGAAATCATGATGCACCTTCCCGGGACATCCAGTGTATTTTTCTTTAATTAGGCCCTTTAAGATGGTTGTTTCTTTGCTTTTAATTCCTTCGACTTTTTTGGGACGATATTTGAACATTTCCCATTCCTCCAAATTTAGACGTACTCAACACTTTTTCAGCACTTTTTGAAATTAAGCATGTGGGGGGGGGGGGGGGGGGGTTTTTTGACCCAGCATCTTCTCCGACACCGGACATAAGTTTTATGGTTCCTTTTGAAGGACCGTTTTCAACGTTCCTCATTAGGATTTGAACCTGCGACTTAAAGTTAGCCACTTACTTCTGAACTCCAAAGCAGCTGCTCTAGTACCACTGCAAATCTCATAGCCCTAAAAAAAAGTACATTGATTGTCTAAGAGCACTGGAGGCTGATGGAAGGTTTGAAAAAATATACTCGGATATCCGGTCTTTGCGTATATTTGAAAATCTTGTCTTTTTTATTATTCAATATATATAAATGTACTCTGGCGTGAGATATTTCACATATTCAACTGAATACCAGCTGTTAATAAATTTATCATGAATTTTCCTTTTAAATGGCATATGTGTGATACTTAACATTTTGTTCTCAAATCGCTTTCTTTTGTACTTTCCATATTTATAAAGGTAATTTTCCATTAAATTTTAGAATGTATTTTCAAAGCTGCTTTTAGAAAAAAATTGTTTACCTACCTACCGACCCATCTTGAGAATTGAGGGTCGGGTTAGGGGAAACAAGGATATTTTTAATTCCGGCCTCAGTTATATGAATATTTACTAATTGCATGTACAGTAGAGTGAGTAGACTCTTTTATCGATCGTAATTACTTTAAATCATTATAAAGAACAGCTTATAGTTTTGGTCTTTTTTCTACCTACATTCCTTCATTTCTCAAAATTCATATAATATTCAAGGGCTGCACTTCATACCCATCAGTCCAACAAAAATTCTGTTGACTTCTTCATTACTGGTACAAGATGACAACATGTTTAATGTTTGTTGGCTGCACTTGGTCAATAGGTAATACCTATAAGTTTAAAAAGGCACTTTTAGTCTCACGGTGCAATAATAATAAAATTTATATAATTGCTAAGTTAACCTTTTATACATTTTCAGATATACAAGTTTAGTTTCCTCAATTTTATATCAATTTGGCATTTGTGTAATGGCATTTGTGATTATTTTATTGCAGTGATTTTAATTATAGTACATTTTTCTTTGATAAAGCTTTTCCTAAAATTAGAAAAAAAAAAACCACATATATATACCTCTTAAATAAACTTTCCTGGACTAGCTTTAAAGCCCTGTTAACATGGTTAAAGTCATAATGTCCACTTATTCTCTCTCATCGACAAATTTCCTTCTACAAAAAAAAATGTAAGGTTAATCAGTGCAAAAGGATACCACGTCCAAAAAAACCCCACTCAACTGAGGTATATAAAGACTGCAAAAGTTCTATATATCTGCATCTTTTGGAAGATGAAGCAATTCAATCTCAGGCTTATTGGTCAGCAATTCCCCTCTTCAAGACACTCTCTTTTCTTCTCTCCAAATAATATCTGAATATGAATATTGGCGATCTGTTGCAATAGATCACCAAGCCCGACATTTCAAAAATTCGATTCTGATAGTGATTAGACTATCGTTTTCAAGTAATTTGTACTGCAACTGCTCTGAATTCTCCTTGATTCAGTAAATAATTATTGTTTTAAGTATACCAACTTAATACAATTGAAGAATATTTTGGTAATAGTTGTTAAATAGTCAATGTGGTAAAATGTAAGTAAAGACCAAGTAATGTTATTACTGATATACACAAATTTAAGTTAATATAAATTACTAAGTAAACTTTCTTCAGACTGTAAGTAAAAAATATTTGAAATAAAAAAATTCAAGTAAAAATTTGAATTAAAGAGGCTTGAGGGTCAACAAATTAACCACCAAGATTTAAGTTAATCTTTTAAATATGGAATCTTAAGCTGTCACCTATCATTTGGCAAAGAAAAATTTCATACATTTTAATTTTAAAATTTGATCATGCTTGTATATCTTGATATGGAGCTCTTCTTTAAAGGAGATCAAAATAGTCTGAAAATGGCTTCCACCCCTCAGCCTCTTTAAGTAATTGACATATATTTCAGTAATTGATTTAAAATTTTAAGTAAATGCTTTGTAATTATCTATTACTTATCATTGTTATTTCAAGTAAAAAAAATGACTACTAAGTAAAACTTTATTAAGAGTGTTGGAACATAAACCTTCCCACAGCCTGTATGAATTCACAAAATAATCAGTTTTAATCCATTTTAGACGATTTATTTCCAGATTTCTAGCAAGCAAAATAAAAAAAAAGTTGATATATCTAAGACAAATACAAATAGTTGCTTTTATAATACCAGGTATGCTTACTAGTATTTCACATTAAAATTAAACCTCAAATAAAAACGATCCTGTCACATCTGTTTCTTCTTTAAATGTTTTAAAGGGTACACCAACTATCAAATAATGTCAAACGAGATGACATCAGTTTTTCTATTCCTTCTTTTATATGTAGCATTTTCAGACGAACCATCAAAGTACCTTATATTTATTCAACAAAGGTCATTATATGGGTCAGGGAAATCAATCATTCAGCTCCAATTCGCTCCCTTAAAATGAGATATGTGATATACAGCGATCGATCTAAAAAAAAATACAATATATAATTCTGTGAACAGGTTATAAAACAGAAACCCCGAACATAACGAAAGAAGGTTAAGGGGTCAAGGAGAGGAAATCATCCGACAATAAATAAAGTTTTAATTAAAAAAAAAACCTAAGAATTGATATATTATACCTACTGATAGGACTTAATTGCCAAAAATAAGTCGTTATAAAATCTAAGAACTTGGAAAGTGTTGACTTTAAACTGTGTTGATAAAATCTAACATCAAATTATTTAACACAATACTTGTTTCTTGCATAAGGCGGAGTGTGAAGACATATGTTCCCACCTGGTTGTAATTGACAGCATGGAAGAATCTGAGTGGCTCGCTACGACATTTCTTGTCAAAAGTAAGTTCTTTGTGGATCTTTTAAGTACATTATTAAGTATTGCCTAATAACGCTTAATGTGCGGAATATTTTAATCCTATTCTGGGATATAAATTTGTATCTTTCAGGATAAATACAGGTTTATGATATAAAAAAATAAAATCTTTCTTTCTTGAATTATTTAATCGCCAAAATGGTGATTTTTATGTTCAGTAGCAGGTTAATTCAGTTTTGTGTTTAACTTTTTAAGAGGGTGCTTCTAGACTAAAAAATTCGAGGATGATCAATAAAAATACATAGTAAGATAACAAAATAAAATCACCGAAATGTAATCTTTCGGATTAAGTTCTTCAAGGATACACGGAATTTAGCCTTAAAACGATATCTTTTTTAGAATACTAGTAGTTACAGACTTTATATATAAAATAAGAAAATGATATAAAGAAGATCTAAAGGGAATAAAGGCTCTTCTGATAATTTCCGAGAGAAACTTATTGATAAACGATATAAAGTTGTTTAAAACAAAATCAGGTCGAAGCCTACCATCCCCAGAAAGTTTATTTGTTTTGAACACAATTGAATTTCAACTTTGATTTTTGAAAGCAATCCTGTATTTATCTCCAAAGCCCCTCAATTTGTATGAACCTATTAACAATAATCTATATTTATTATTAAGGATTCTTTAGTCACTTGTCCTTCCAGCGTAATTTGTAGAATTACATACTTTCATTCATTTCCCTACTTTATAATTACACTCCTATCATGGATCATTGTAGACACTTGTCCTTCCGACTTATTTGCTGACTGTACCGCCTGGACGGGTGGAAATGACCTTGAGGTTGAAGGTCAATACTGCTGGAATGACTCTAACATGACCATGACCTTTACTTACTGGAATCCAAACGAACCAAGCATCATTCAACCAACACAAGCTTACACCAGAGACTGCATTGATCTTCTAAAAACTGCCAAGTGGAATGATAGACCATGCTCCTTTCTTAATTCATTCATTTGTGAAAAATCCCATGTTTTCTAGATAAAATATTCAGCATATGTCACAAAACTGCAAACTGTCTCTTAAATTAGTTTGATATTTTCTTTTACTGAATTCGATTTTATTTGTACAATTTTCTTTAAATTTCTACGTTCGCCCTTTTTGACCAATTTCGTTAAAAAAAAATGAATGAGTTGTAATTTATGCATTTAGGATGAAGGTAAAATAAATTCATTACATCAATTTGTCTATAGTCTACATCCTCTTTTTGAAGCTTTTCTTTTTAAAAAAAAATTATCTGTTCAAAGGAGTTTATTTAAATAAATTATTTCCGAATATAAAGAAAAGTCGTTTTCAAAAGAAGGTATTTTCTCTTAATCCTTTCTCATGAGTGCTTTAAATACACATATCTTTTCACTGAAAACTGAAAAGCAACAATCTAAATTTATTGAGAATTTCTTTCAGGTAACACACCTCTTTCCAGTTCACGAAGAAAAGTAGACCATCTTTGCATTTGAAGAAGTGTATAAATTCCTCATTATAATTAAAAAAAACCAAATCCTTTTTTTAAAATCCGGAAATGATTAAGATATGACTCCTTAAAGAAAGGTATTCAGTAGAAATATAAATTGAAATCTAATCCTTATAATTATTGCATGGTAAAACACGATATTAGTATACAGTAATAGGGACACTTTATACAAGACAGGTCACACAGTTTAAAAGCCAGAAAGTCTCTTTTAATTTGGTATTTGATACGCGTCGCCGGTAAAACTCAGTTTGCGACCATTAAATCAGCATTAACGGTCGCAAAAACCAAATACCAAATTCGAAGATAGTTATTCCCATACGATGAATTTTGTTTGTTGTTTTCGTCTTACTTTGTTGAGTTTCGATATATGAAACACGTCACGTAGCATTGTGTTTTTTCGTCGCTCTATTATGTCGTCACAGTGAAAAGCTTTCAATCACGTTAATGCTCGTTTTACTGCTTCAAACAAAGTACATAAGCCAATTAAACGTGTTTTACAAATTAATAACATCAGAATTTTGTTTCACGTCCCTCTCATGAATTTTTATGGGAAAGTTATTCCGTGCAGGTCTATAGGCATTTTTGTTGCCTTTACCTGGCACTTGGGGCATTTTAGTAGAATACATTTAAGTCAATTTTTAAAAAATAAATTTACTTTCATTTAAGATATTTAATTAAAAAATTGCAATTTTCTATTTTCAAACACAATCTTATTTATTGTTTTCACAACTATTTAAAAAGTTAAATTGGTTTGAAATTTCTCTTCTTATTTTATGGTCTTGGGGCCCGGCGTTTTATTATTATTTTTTTTTTTTGATTTGTTAAGGATATCTATGAAATTTTGCAATAGCCTTTCTTGTTGTTTAATTATAAACGTAAAACATGATTAAATGAGTCAAATGCGCTTGGCGTTTTATTTTATTTCTTTGTGAACACGTCATTAGATACAGGTAGTAAACAGAGGTACAAAACACCTTCTGATGTCACACCTGTACGTTCATTCTTGTCATCAAAAAAAGAATCAATAAACAAAAAGATTAAATTGAATTAGACGATATTTTTATCCCCTACATCTACCCCTTTAAATATTCTATTATAAATACACTTAAACAACTTTCCACCTTTTTGATTACTGTTTAAAAATCCGATATTAGGTGAAGCATGGAAATGACTCTAATAATTTGTTACATTACACCACAAAAAGGAGAAAACAATTAATTAACTCTAAATAGAAGCCAAGGAATCTTTGAATTCATTTCCCATGAAACTTACGTTAATGCAGTTCAGTCATAAATGTTTTCAAAGTAAAGTTTTCGAAATTAAAATGCGGAATTCATGCGTCAATTTTCGTTTGACGTAATATGTAAATTATAAATCTTGATTTCTTAAAAGAAAATTCTTACTGTAAAGTAAAATGAGTGCTCATGTAGTTCTCTTCATACTTGTTAATGTATTGGATATATTCTTGAATGTATACGGTATGTTTTACAATTAAAAGTCTAACAGCAGTTCTAATAAATCAGTAAAAAAAATTCTCTGTTATGTTACATTAATTTTTTTTATACATTAATCATTATCATCAATTTTTCCCCCGTATTAAATAATATACAAAGAATTAATTTCATAACCGTATTTAATAATATAATGTGTAACTGTTTATTTTTTTTAAGAATTTATTAGTAAATACAGAAGTAATTACATAAAAATAAATCGACATATCTGTCTCATTTCGTAAACTGCATGATAATGATTAAACATCATCAAACTTTAATTACCCTGTAAAAATATTTCAGGACAGCCAACAGTTATTCTTATCGGTAATTCCAGCGTTACACAGGGTGATCAAGCATATTTGAAATCTACCGTAATACCTGAGATTAATATCACATCTGTGTTGTGGCAAAAAATATCAAATGTTGACGTCAGAAATATTTCAGTTGATCCGCCAAAATACGAGCAGAGTCAGGTGACTTCAGGTGGAACTATTGTACTCACGCTGAAAATAAGCAACGTGAGTGCTGATGACGAGGTTAATTACAGGGTTGTTGTTGAGAGTGATGGAAAATCTTATGTAAGCAATCAACATGCACTGGGCGTACACGAAGGTATTTTATAAAGTACTAATATATTTATTTATTAAGATTCAAAAAGTAAATAAATGTTGACAATCCATTATTTAAAATAAATGTTTATGAGTTGCCCGCATGGCGTAGTTGTTAGAACGTCTGCTTTAGCGTCGCGAAGTAAGGAGCTAGATCCTTACGTCGCGCGTTCGAATTCCGCTGTCGGACGTGGAAACCGGTTTTTCGGATGAGACCGTATAAACGAAGATCCCGGACATGTATAGTAGAAAAAGATTTTCTTGTTTGAAAACTGCTTAGGGATGAAAGAAGACTTTAACAATTTTGATGTTACTGAGGCTTTAATTTGTATTTTATTTGAGAGATGTAACTAATTTAAGTGATTTGTGCATTCTATTGGAAATATATCCTTGTTGTTTTTTTTAAACTTCAAAAATACATTTATATCAAAACATCTTGTATACAGATGCCTCAAACTGCGAACCTGGTAAATATGGAGATAATTGTGAAAAAGTATGCTCTGGAAACTGCGCCAACAACGCGATATGTGACCCGACATCCGGTATCTGTCCGGGGGACTGCACAGAAGGCTGGGAGGGACAATTGTGTGACAAAGGTTTGTGAGATGAATATTTACTTAGTATAGGAATGGCCGTAATCTACACAAATGAATCTCGGCATTTAAGTTGCCTGTCATTAGCATTCAGTGACAATTTAATTAAAGAAGAAAATCATCCTTTGAAAGTATTTTTTAAATTGCAAAGATCATCGTCTGCAGTATATTTTGCTACTTATGTCATACATTATATTGCTATGGTGGCATATTCATGTAGATGAAATGAAATATTCCACTACGCTTTTGCATAATATTTGACATATTTCTTATATTATAAAACAAAACATTGTATAAATCATATTGGATATTATTTTTGTCCCATAAATTGTGTTTTTAATCCTATTGCCAAGAAGCGTCTTGAAATATTTAACCGTATCTTGAATATGTAACGTAATTGTTAATCCTCTCCAATATCAAAATTAATTTTGAAAAAATAACAAAATTATGTAAAGTTTACAAACAACTCGGGTAAAATATGAAATATGATTTTAAATTCACTAAATAAAATGTTATTAAAACTAAAATAAGACTTTAAAATATTACCAATAATTTCCGAATTATGCCTTGTTCACGCGTAGAGTTTAATTCGAATAAACTGCGAATTATATTTTAAACGCGTTCACATGGGCAATTTAATGCGAATTAGTTTAATTTGAATTAATTTACTGCGCATCAAATTACTTCGCATTAGCTCCGAATCTTATTCGAATCAAATTTTAACGCATGTGTAAGGAGCAAATAAAAAATTCTGTCTTGAAATAGTTAAAAATATGTACATGTATATTTTGTAGACATTCTTTTAGTTTCAAACAAACGTACTTTTATCGCCAACTACATGTAGAAACACTGATACATGTTCATATTGTCACGCGACTTTACGCATGTTAATTCTTAAAATTTCAATTCAATATACAGTTAATTTTCTAAAAAACAAAACAGAATATAACCACTAACATAACATCGACGAAAACGATATAAATCTTCAACAATTTCAATATTTCGAAAAGCCCGCGCTATTGAAAATAGTTCTCTTACAATATGCATCCAGCAGCGTACAAGCACAAATTGGTACATCACGATGATCCCAGTAAAGCAAATATCAAATTTCTCTTTCAGTTTAATTCCCAAGAAAAAATATTGATCATTATCTTTTCCAACGATTGGGATGTTAAAAATATTTGTTTGAATATCGTCTCGCAATGGGACTATTTTGTTTATCGGAAGTGAACGCTTTGACGCTGTTTTTTTTTTGTTTTTTTTTTGTTTACTGTGCTATTTATAATAAGACAGTCGATCATGATGCCTATAGCCAGGACTTTGCTTTCAGCAAAGCCCGGCTATAAATCCAATGCTCTCACCCTTTTGTCTCATTGGCTGTTACAGAATGTAAGGCGGGATTTTATGGCGTTAATTGTCGGCAGACGTGTAGTGGTAATTGTGTGGACAGACAGCCTTGTGGAAGAGTCCGTGGGCATTGTAGGAACGGCTGTACTGATAGTTGGTCTGGTTTACGCTGTGATTACAGTAAGTTTAAGAGGAAACACTGTGATTACGGAAAGTAACAGGATAAACAACTGTCCTGACAGTAGTTACAGAAAGCGACAGAAAACAGGTTCCTTACAAAGGGTTACAGAGAATAAGAAGCAGAAGATATTTTTGACTGTTAAGAGAACGATAATATATTGTTATTTTATGTTCTGATTTAGTTTTATTTTGAGAGATATGGCTTTGTTAACGTTAGATCGCTACGTATATCACGATTTCACTTTTACTGGTGTGAGGTTACAAAAAAATTACAAAATTTACAGAATTTTTTTTGATATAATAATAAGATTGAATGCTTTCAAGGCACATGTCTCTACATGATTAAACAGTGTAAATTGACGATTGTATTGCGGTCCATAATAGAATAATCACATTTTGAAAGAAAAATTAACCACATGAAAAACAATAACACATAATACATCTGGGTATTTTGTACATTATAACCTCTACTGGTCGGCAAGGGATGCTCACTCCTCCATGAGACCCGATCCCACCTCTGACGTTTTGGAGGTCTGTGTTAGCTATGCTCCTTTTTTGTAATGTTGCATAAACTTTTGATCTTGAATATTGTTTGTAATATCAATATGTTTCATTCTAGCTGTACCATCCTTACAGACGAGTACATCACAGACTCCTGGATCAGAACTCCCCTCCTATGTCCTGTATGTAGCCCTTACTGTTACTTCAGTCATCATACTTGGGGCAGGTGTTTCTGTCCTGGTTTGCTGGTAGGTTTGAATTTTATTCACAAAAGCTCTCCATAAAACAAAATGTGGCCTCTATGTTGAAATGTTCCTATATGGTTAACTGGTTGAGACAAGTTTTGTTTTAAGTTTTTAGTAGTTACCCTTTGAATGAAAATTCGAAAAAAAAAATTATATTTTTAAAATCAAATTGATGATTATATCATACTTTTGACTGAATACATTTAAAAATAATCAGAATCAATAGATTTACAGGTGCAACATTCCAGAGCATGAACATACATTATTCAAATATTGCATTCATCACTTTAATATGTTCATAACATTCATATTTTATTTTAAGATTGAACAATATATAGCACCTGCATCTTTTTCTTTAAGGTCAGATGACACGTTCCTCAAATTTTTATTTAGTATCTCTTTATATTATATCAAAAATTATTCATATTTGTCATTCTCTTCTGATTTCTACATTGTTTTCAAAATGTTTTTAAATATAAGAACACCAAAAATTGTAATATAGGCCATTCATAAGATTACCCATAAGGGTTATATAAGAAATATGACCGTGCAGTATCTTGTCCAAATGCCTGGTGAGGTACCCTCATTTTTTGTGAGGATATTCATTTAAGTACCTTACTTCAATGATAAATTCTAAAGAAAAATTATATATTTTTGAGGAACATGTCGTCTGATCTTAAAATGAAAATTCTAATTGCTATATTTTTAGTATGAGGAAAAAACAAAGAAGAAGACTTTCATCAACGAATTGGGACAAAAATGAACGCAGTGAAAACGACAAGATATTCAATATCGATAACGAAATATATGATTCAATATATGAACAACCGATAGAACAGGATAGCGAGCGGCCGCCATCTTATCGCTCTGTAGACCATGCATATGAGGAGATGAAACCAGACCCAGTCAATGATTATATAGAGATCACTGAATGAATATTACATATGCTACAAGGGATTGGGGGAGTAAAAAAATGCCATTTTGTATTACTTGCAATTGTATCTACATTAATCTGGTGTTTGATTTAAATAAATATTTTTGAAATAATAAATGCCGATTTTTAACGGCTTTGTTGTTTTTTTTATGATTATCATTGATTATCATTGCTTCTCATCACAATCTCTGATAAATTTCATGTTTCATTACAAAATGCATAATTAATCAAAGTAGTCTCATTCAGAAAACGACTCGTCCATCATTAACATTTAGTAAATCTAAGTATACCACTAGTAAACCATACCACCGTTCGACGTCCTTCAAAATTCATCAACCATTGAATATGTCGCAGATAATGCCTCAGACGTTAGCCCAAGCATAATAAATATCCTTGATAATTTATTAAAATGGATTTGAAGCATCGTTTGGATGTTAAATATCACAGTTTCACCCGTTACTTTTAGGAATAAATATAGCCAATAATCAATCACCAGTTAAAAAAGTATAGATTTGAAAATCTTTCAAAGGTATGAAGGGGGTTCCAGCAAATGGTCTATCAAGCTCAACTTTATCGAAGGCAAACATTACTAGAGGTGCTGTGAGCAATGAGTTCACTAAATGATACCCCCGCCTCCCATAATGTCCATGTGTTGCTATATATTATTTTACGGTAATGTGTAAAGAGGAATAACTCGTCCTTTCAAATGTTATCCAGAAGCTTCTATATGTGACGTCATAGGTAAACATATAATGGCGGAAACTTAGAAGACTTCTACAAGATATAATTTGGTAAAAATTCTGAACTAGAAGAATATGCAAGTGGCATTTTTACAAATACGAATATTGATTGAGTTCACAGTTAGAGACATAAAATAGGTATGGGATCTAAAAAATATGGAAATACAAAAAGGGGTTTTAAGTTATATTTTTAAACGTTAACATAATGTGAACGAGTGGGTTCAGTTTTCATATTTTATTAAGTTAACACAAAAAAGGTGGCAGTGTACATGGAAACCTGCAACATAAAGAAAAGCGAGTTTTACATATGTGACTGCACTTAATCATAAAATAAGCTGAGGTGTATAGAACAATTGAATGAACAAATAGTGGTGTCATGTGAGATATGAATAAGAAATAACACAGTGGGTCTACCCTAAATGGCACACATACTATGGTGCATATGATCTACAGTTAAGTTCGTATATGAACATACCTAACTTACATACCCTTAAGATATAAGTAAATCCACATAAATACATATGCTACTTTAACTTAGTGTTATGTTAGTGAAAGTAAAGTACAGCCCTAAGTGTCTTGATTTCTAACAAAATATTATTAATTTGTAAATAATAAAAAACAGAACATCATCCAAGTAATTATGACAAGCAAGACCTATGACTAGAAATTCTCAGTTGCATACATCTCTTATTGATAACTTACACTGACTATTATGAGAGTGGTGCCAAGTAATTCCAAATATTACGCCTTACCGGATATAGCAAACCTGGTCCGACTATACATTAGAATCGAAATTGTACAAGACATGTAATAATTGCTATAAAACACAACCGAGCTACCAATCATAATATCACATTTAGAATTGATTGATTGATTGTATACTGTTTATCGTCCCTCTCCAGAATATTTCACTGATATGGAGACGTCACCATTGCCGGTGAAGGGCTGCAAATTTGGGTCTATGCTCGGCACTTACGGCCTTCGAGCAGGGAGGGATCTTTATCGTGCCACACGACGGTGCTGTAGCACGGGGCCTCGGTTTATACGGTCTCATCCGAAGGACAGTCCCATTTAGTCGCCTTTTACGACAAGCAAGGGCCGGGGGTACTGAGGACCTATTCTAACCCGGATCCCCACGAGGAGCACATTTACAATTATACAACGTACAATTTGATGTGGACTTTCTCCATGTCCTCCATAGCTCTGATCGCCTATCTCCACAGAGACACCACCTGGCGGTACACCATGTTTGCGGCCGGCTTGTTTAGGGTTAACAGTCTGGGAATACGATGGTTTGTTTTATGAAGATAATATTTCTCTCCATTCATCATTTTTTTTTTCATTAAAAAAAAAAGATTCTCTTGCGAAATATTTGTTTGATATGTTTTTTTGGAATGCCATGATTAAATAAATATTGATTATCTTTGCTTTTAGAAAATTATCATTTTATGCAATGAATTTTCTCTGTATTGAATGATGTTTGTTTTAACGATTATTCGTCTTTTTCATACATTTTGTTTAGAGAAGAATATGGCTAAAATTATAGCGTGGTAACTAATGACAGCTCTTCGTAGTATGAGGCATTTACACCGTGTCACACACCACTAAGCACTGACCATTCTTGTTCCCGTGCTCTAGATAAAGTCTTTTACAAACTTGCTACCGACAAGAGTTGTTGTTTTTATTTAAATATGAAAAAATATCTCTTAAATATCCATCAGAGCACTTGACAATAAGAAACGAAGTTGTTTTTCAGAATACTGAAAGAGTCTCCTCGATGGTTGGTCGTGAACGGAAGATATGATAAGGCTAAAGCCTGGATTAGAAGGGCGGCCAAATGGAACCAGAAAGACGCAGACATTATCCTCAACGATCTAAATTTATCGTCAGAGAATGGAGAAATTCAAGGACATAGTGAAAACAATGCAAATAAAAGAGATATATATATTATTTTTTTAACCTCTTGTCACGAGTATAGAAAGGCACCAGGAATCATACTTTTCTGATTAATTAGTGTTTTAGACTTATCATGTTAAAAAGCCATCTTTTCCTAGGTATCTCTATATCACAAAAAATCAAAATACATAAATTTGTATAATTTACCCGTGATAAGTTTACTTTTCTGAGTGTAAATAGTCTTTATTTTAGATTTTGTTCCTCAGAGTTTATCCTTTTATTTTTTCATATTTTTTCTTTGGGTGTGGGAGGGGGTAGAATGGAGATTGCTGATACCGTAAAAATTACTTTAAAATCATTACTCTTGTAGGTTTAAGGGATAAACAACAAGAAAAAAATTATATAAATTTGAAATTCACTTTCATCAGTAATGGAAGGATTCGCAACAGCCTTCAGTTTTGTGGGAAAGTTTGGTATATCTAGATCCTGGATGACGATATTCTTATATACAGAGTAAGTGTACCCCACTAATTTAGGGTAACGTTACAAGACAAGGCAAGGTTAAAACTATAACCTGCCATTAAGATTTACAAGTAGAATCTTGATATTAATATTACATGTACAAATAGAGACTAGACATTAACATTAGATGGAGAGCTTAGATATTTAAATGTCAAAAATAGCCTACATGCATGTATTTACATTGTAATTAGAGCCTTAAATATTCATTTTATGTAAAGTTTGCATTATTGCTTTTTTCATAAAAGTTGAATTTGTTATTTTGAGTATCTTCCCAGTCGTCTTTGCACCATTATTCTGTTAATCTGTTAAACAAACATTCCGCTTGAACACAAAAGTAATCTAGATGACATTAAAAAAGTACATATTTGAAAATTTATTTTTAGGGGTCATCAAACAGCCTGCAATTCTTGATTATGTTTTATTGAGCGTCTAAATTCTATTGATATGCATTTTCAAAGCCGTTATTGAGTTCATTTTTGCTGATATCATTTCAACTTGTTTGTCATATTTCTTTCAGAGCACTCGACATTGGACTTGCCTCGTGTTCTGCCAGAATAGTGGCGATGACATCACCATACACAGCACTTTTTGTGAGTGTTTTGTTTGGTCCTTACATTTATGAATTGCTTTTCCTTGTGTATCTCGCAAATAAACAATAAAAAATATTACCTAAGATTGATTGATTTTAAACTGTTCAACGTACCTTTCCAGAATATTTCACTGATATGGAGACGTCGTATTAGCTTAAGTAGGATTTATATATTCTTAGACTGCTTTATTTAGTTTTTTTTTATTTCATTTTATCTTACGAAATAAACTCTTTTCTCGTTCTGTGTATTATACACAAAACAGCTAAATCAAGATATGTAACAATAAACTTCTTTAGAAATTTTAGAAAATTATAGACAAGACATCTCTTTATATATATATATACCTTTTTTATTATTAATATTCACTGAAAAGAAGTGTGTTTTTAATTAAATTTTTCGCAAAATGTTCTCGGACCATTTATATTTTGATGAAATGTAAAAGTCTGCATTTTACTTTTTTCGTAAAACTACAATTTAGAGTGTGTTGTCCACCTTATCCCGTGGCTTTGCTCGCTAAGAAAAACAACAGAATGTCGTATTGACAGATATATCTTTTATCTCATCATTTATTTCAGGGAACTCATATACCTTAGGGACCAGGTGTATTTGGAATTTTGTCAGTATTAGTGACTATTGAGAAAGAACTACCTAACACACTCGAAGAAGTAAACGAACTTTATGTCACCAAAAAGGATGGTCACACAAATCTTTACTGATTGGAAATTTAAGAAGTTTTATAAGATTTATCTTAATTTAATATTTGGATAATTCTTTGTACAAAATCAGTATAACTTATGGTTATGATGATTAATTATACACATATTTATTTTTTGTCATAAAATAGTAAAAACCCAAATGAATTCATGCATTTGAGATTGAAATTTGAGATGGATAAATGTTTGTCCACAGTTACTTGTGGAAAACCCCCCTTCCCCTAAATATTCAACCTACTAGAACTACTACCCACGGATTATTGTTTTGTAGAGCGATTATTTTGGGGTTTCAAGTATTTTTTTCATTGTACTTATGATCAATAAGTGTTATAAAATAAATTGTGGAAAAAAAATGTTCAACAAATCTCGGGCGTTGAATATTAGGGGGGGGGGGGGGGTCCTGTCCACAAATATCTGTGTGTTTGTCAAACTCTTGTTCAGTACTTCTGAATTTTAGGCCACCTGAGTCATGTCGAAGAGCGTCGTGTGTTAGCATCGTGTGTTAGCGTTGTGTGTTAGCATTTGGATATTTTCAGCTTCTTCTCTAATTTTTTCCCCTTCAAATAAACTTAGGCATAAGAAAAAAAAAACAACCTACTGTACACTGTACACCTTTGATTCTTTTGTTATATTTCATTTTCTAATAACTAGGTCAATGACCTACTTTGCATGCTTTTGGCCCCTGATTTTGTTCGGGAAATACCTACAATGACAACTTTACTCACGAAATTTTACAAGCAACAAACTATTTCCAATTAGGAAATATTATAGGATTAGAACAGCGTTACTTAATACAAATAAACAATTAGAATTTAAGCAATAAACTTATAAATTGTTACAGTCAAAATTTCCACTGTCTTGTTTCTGTTCTCCAAAATTATAATCAAATACTACCAAATCTGAATGATAAGAACTCTAAATTATTTATTCTTACTTTTGGTGCCCTTATTCTAATGACATTAATATTATACCTTTATGAGATCAATGATCAAATGATAGGGGTATATTGTCTGGAGAGGTTTTTATTCATATTTTTGAATTTCTTTATTCCATAGGATTCAATTATTTGAAATAATTCATGGGCTTTTACCTTCATAATATTTAAAACAGAAAATGAAAAATAAAAAATCTAGTCCGAATTTCCTCTGCATTACCAACTATTGACATTTGTTAAATTTTCTTCAAACAAAAAAAAAAAAAAAAAAAATAAAAACTATATTGAGTTAAAACTTATTTTATCCATTTAGAAATATATTTGTTTAAAAATATTATATCTAGTAAAATTTCTTTTCTATCTTCTAAAATCTGAGTAATTTATTTTTCTTAATCATTCTACATTTTACCACTTACTTTAATATACTAGGTAACTGCTCTTAAAGTCCATGAGAACAGAATAGCCTGGTATCTCTATGCATTAGTTCTATGTCGATTCAATTTAACAATTAGAAATGGAGTACTTGTGTATAAAAATTTGCAGGAAGGGAATGACTTATATAATATTTATAATGTAAACCAATAAATTTAATGAACAAAGTCTTTCAACTTAATTGACAATGTTATAGTTAAATCCAGCTCGTGTTTCCTTTTATCAGATCTATGTTAAAAATTATTCAGATTTTTATCTTTAATAATTATTTGTATCAAAGAACTTTGTTTCCACTAATTTTGTATGCCCCTGTTTCATTTAAATGATCACATTATCTAGCATCGATCGGCGTTTGATTCTCTACGGAATCATTTTGCTGCCTTTATGCAGCACACTGCATCATGGATACTGGAGTCTTCAATACGGATATAGACTGGAGGGAGGACTGATTAATTCCTATACTGGTTATAGTATTTTAGATTGTGTACAGGAATGTCTGAAGACAACAAGATGTCAATCAATCAATTACCACAGGGGAGCTAATTTTTGTGAGATAAACTATAACAACATGGCTTCTGAGGATAGATATGCTGCGTATAACAACATCGACTCTACAGATAGAGATATAAACAGTGCGGGCTGGATATACAGTGAAAAAGACAGCTGGGATAAGGCAAGTAAATTAAAGTATTTTCTTTTTTCTAAAAGGAAGATAACTCTGTATTAATAATTTCAAACTGATGAAAATTGAAATGAAATATTAATTTCCTTTTCTCATTGTTTCCCTTTTATTCAACGGAATGTTAATTTCGCCAGATAAATGTAAACAAAAAATATATTACGATTATATTACTAAAATATCACCACCCTGTAAGTTATTATTGAAGAGATGATTTTTCTTAACAATTATTTAGAACGATATCAAAAGATATTAATATAATGTAATAGAAAAATAAGCCATTTGCAGCTTGGAAATTTGTTGTAGAATGGGGAGAAATTTTAATCTTAGTCATTAGAATTCTTGTGAAAAGGGCAAAGGAGCCTTAAAATATCATGTGAAGCTTCGTTTATTTTATATCAGGTAACTTTTCAAAAATTTGAATTAAATTTTATTTTAAATTTAAATTAAGGTAATAAAAATATCTACCTAGTTCCTTGGATATACGAATATACATATTTTAAAATTTTAATCCAGGAGATCATTTAAAATAAAGAGGATTGCTCTAATTTGTCATCTAGCTGAACTCAATTTTTGATCGTTAAAATGTTAAGAAGATTTTATTCAATATATAATTTTTTATTTTAGAAAAAACAGTGAAAAATCAGTGTGAAGACAATATATTGTATATTAGTTTGAAAACATTAAACATTTATTTAAAATATGAAGGAATATCTATTAGAAAACAATTGAATCGTAGTTGTGCATTTGGGATAAACCGTTTGAATTAAGTAACTTTTTATTAAGATAATAATAGATGAGTTTTATTTAAAATCGGGTACATGAAATTGTATATTAAGTTTGGTTTCTTTTTGTAAGAATATTCTTAAACACAGATAAGAATTTTCCAAAGATTGGCAAAGAGATTTCCCGTACTTCACATTTCACTTGATTTCCCTAAAAATAGAAATTGGGAGAAAGGGGTCAAAGGGCGACAGAAAAATTAAATAATCATCTCTTTAATGTTAACTATCATTAAGAATATACAATTTTAAGATCCTATTTCAATTAAAAGATTTGTAAATGCAAAATAGTTATTTTTTTGAAATTCAGGCAAACCTTGGGGAATTTTATATTTTAAATGGGATGGGGATGGGGGAACTCGAAAAAATATCAAAGGTGACAATTGATTGGACAAATGTTCACCGAAATTAAAATAAAGATACTTTATCTTGAACAAGTAAAATGTTGAAAAATATAATAAACAATAATCAGATACATTGTATATATTTATATTAAGTTGCCTTTTGTATAATAATTGATAAATTACACGTAATCGTAATTCTTTTCATATATTATGTCTTTTATGTAATTATTTTAGGATCTTATTTGGCCTTGTTCCGTCTCCGGATGTTCAGTCAACGCGAAATGTACCCATATTGCATTGGGTAAACTAAATTGCATTGCATCAGGTAAAATTATCAAGCATTTGATTTTTCAGATTCATTTTGATAAGAACTGGGCCAGAAAATATGGCGAAACATAATACAATATTCACTCTCTGCTAGTGGTTATACATGTGTCGTTTTGATATTTGTAGAAAATGAAATATATATGTCATAGATTGTTAGTAGAACTGTAACTAATTATGTTTACATTTTGCGATGTAACTAGTGCTGTATGATAAGACTTACGTCACTTTGAAAAAGAAATATAAACGATACATATCATTCAAGTATTTTTCAAGTGAACTTTTATGTTAGGTCAAACTTACAAACTTATTATCGTACTGTTCACATTATGGAGATTAATCTTTACTGTTTGCTAAAATTTACGGCACTTGGCAAAAATAGTGGGCATTGGATTATTTTCCTAGTGAATTTTTAAATAAAGTAAAAGAAAACTGCACTTTAATTAACAGATTGTGGCTTTCCTAGAGGAGTGGACAGTGATAATGTAGGTCATTGGTCCGCTATTGGTATACACAGACAGATGCCTCCATCGTGTGCTAGAGGATATACACAAATGGGATCTGGATTAATGAAATGTCAGACAGATGGAGAGTGGACAAACAATGTCAGATGTGGTATGAGTATATTGTATTTTTCTATGCGGTATACCTTTATTTACATACCAAACACTGATCTCTTCATTTTTTAAATACTAAATATAAATCATTTATCTGTATTCCATACACAGATATCAACATTTTTTATACCAAATACAGATCCCTTCATTTAAATTTGAAAATCAAAATTGGCAGGTGATACTTGTTCTTCCAAGCCAACCTCTAGTGTGTATTATTGGAATGAAAATTTAAGCTTAAATACAGAATATATTATTTCAGAATATATTTTCTTACATTTTCCACACTATAATAAGCTCTATGAGTTTCGGCACACAGTCTATTTTTAGCTCTACTGGTTAGAGACCAGAAGAGCTTATGCGATAGTAATGCGTCCGTCGTCCGTCCGTCTGTCTGTCTGTCTGTCTGTCCGTCTGTCTGTCTGTAAACAATTTTTCAAAATCCTACTCCTCCTACAGTTTTGGTCTGATTTCAATATAACTTGGCACACAAGTAGACTACACCAAGATACATAATTCTATATATCAGTTTTTGATTTTGATGAACGGTGTTGCCGTGGTTACTAAAAATAGAAATTTCTGTGAAATTCTTTCAAAATCCTACTCCTCCTACAGTTTTGGTTTGAATTCAATATAACTTGGCACACAAGTAGACTACACTAAGATACATAATTCTGTGTATCGGTTTATGATTTTGATGAACGGTGTTGGCGTGGTTACTAAAAATAGAAATTTCTGTGAAATTCTTTCAAAATCCTACTCCTCCTACAGTTTTGGTTTGATTTCAATATAACTTGGCACACAAGTAGACTACACTAAGATACATAATTCTGTGTATCGGTTTTTGATTCCGATGAACGATGTTGCCGTGGTTACTAAAAATAGAAATTTCTGTGAAAATCATTCAAAATGCTACTTCTCCTACAATTTTGGTTTGATATCAATATAACTTTGCACACAAGTAGACAACACTAAGATACATAATTTTGTGTATCGGTTGTTGATTTCGATGAACGGTGTTGGCGTTGTTACTAAGAATAGAAATTTCTGTGAAATTCTTTCAAAATGCTACTCCTTCTATAGTTTTGGTTTGAATTCAATATAACTTGGCACACAAGTAGACTACACTACGATACATAATTCTGTATATCGGTTTTTGATTTTGATGAACGGTGTTGGCGTGGTTACTAAAAATAGAAATTTCTGTGAAATTCTTTCAAAATGCTACTCCTTCTACAGTTTTAGTTTGATTTCAACATAACTTGGCACACAGGTAGACTACACTAAGAAACATAATTCTGTGTATCTGTTTTTGATTTCGATGAATGGTGTTGCCATGGTTACTAAAAATAGAAATTTCTGTGAAATTCTTTCAAAATGCTACTCCTCCTACAGTTTGGTCTGATTTCAATATAACTTGGCACACAAGTAGACTACACTAAGATACATAATTCTGTGTATCGGTTTATGATTTTGATGAACGGTGTTGGCGTGGTTACTAAAAATAGAAATTTCTGTGAAATTCTTTCAAAATCCTACTCCTCCTACAGTTTTGGTTTGATTTCAATATAACTTGGCACACAAGTAGACTACACTAAGATACATAATTCTGTGTATCGGTTTTTGATTTCGACGAACGGTGTAGCAGTGGTAACTAAAAATAGAAATTTCTGTGAAATTCTTTCAAAATGCTACTTCTCCTACAGTTTTGGTCTGATTTCAATATAACTAGGCACACAAGTAGACAACACTAAGATACATAATTCTGTATATCGGTTTTTGATTTTGATGAACGGTGTTGGCGTTGTTACTAAAAATAGAAATTTCTGTGAAATTCTTTCAAAATGCTACTCCTTCTATAGTTTTGGTTGAGTTCAATATAACTTGGCACACAAGTAGACTACACTAAGATACATAATTCTGTATATCGGTTTTTGATTTTGATGAACGGTGTTGGCGTGGTTACTAAAAATAGAAATTTCTGTGAAATTCTTTCAAAATGCTACTCCTTCTACAGTTTTAGTTTGATTTCAACATAACTTGGCACACAGGTAGACTACACTAAGAAACATAATTCTGTGTATCTGTTTTTGATTTCGATGAATGGTGTTGCCATGGTTACTAAAAATAGAAATTTCTGTGAAATTCTTTCAAAATGCTACTCCTCCTACAGTTTGGTCTGATTTCAATATAACTTGGCACACAAGTAGACTACACTAAGATACATAATTCTGTATATTGGTTTTTGATTTCTATGAATGGTGTTGCCGTGGTTACTAAAAATAGAAATTTCTGTGAAATTATTTCAAAATGCAACTCCAAATACAGTTTTAGTCTGATTATAATATAATGTGGCATGCAAGTAGACTACACTAAGAACATAAAGAGACTTAATCAAGGATCATTATTCTATTTATTGTTGTTGTAAAGTTTCAATTCCCAACTGATTTTAAGTACTTTTCTCTTCCTTTGCTATAAGTACAAATCAGTAGAACTTCAGTCTCGACAGAGACTTCTGGTTGATTTATTTAATTCACAAGTGACACTTTTTTTTAACTACCTAAACAGTGCCATATGGGGAATATGATGGACACTCATATCTTCTTGTACCTGATGCTGTATCCTGGGATACCGCCAAGGTATCAGCTCTTGTAGAGTATATAATTAATTACTAAATTTAATTAATTCAGGAGAAAATATACACATTTAAATATATAATCCAAAACATAATTTATTTGAAAAAAGAGTGATTGCTTTCAAATAGATCTTGATAAAAAATAATCTAAAACATCAATTCAAAGAAAAGTTGTAAAAGTAATTCCATTCTAAAATAATAAATAAAATGTTTTTTATGGGTAACAAAAATATATTTCTTCATTGCTCAAAATAGGAATATCAAATACATATTCAATTTCACATATTATATTATTTACATTTGCTGTGTTTTTCACCTAAGCCAACTGCACGAAATTGATTTTATATAATATAAACTCACGCGTAGAAATATATACATAGAGAAAATTACGTTTAAGTGACGTCTCAATGACGTTAGAGAACATTTTTATAGTTTATAAATTTTGGAGGTTTTAAATTTTGAAAAATAAAAGAAAATATTTTTATTTGGAAATAATTTTGTTGCCGCTTCTTCAATTATGCCTTATTGAAATGTCTGTGTAATTAACACACAAATAACTTATACAAAACTGAAAAATGTATTCCTTAAATAAATACATTTAAGGAATGCTTTTAGCGCACTTCATGAAATATGCTTACGTGACAGGTCTGTGTGATTTTCAAACCAATAATTCACATCAAACTTATAAATATTCCTCACATTTATATTATACATGTCTAAAGCACCAAGAATGTACTCAATGTTTGAATTTCTCATTGTCGTATATTGTTTTAGTTCTATTAACGTCTATGTAATCTCATTGTGAGGTCATGTTAACGCATGTTTCTACGCGTGAGTATACACGAAAGTGATAATCAAACCATTTCACAGTTTGTTTATTAGAAAAACACAACAAATGTAAACATTGCGTTTAACAGGAGAGATGTGAGAGGTATGGTGGTTACTTGGCTGAAGTGGAATCAATAGAGGAAAATAACTGGATAACTCAAACACTTGTCGCCCCTTATTACGGTAAAATCTGACGTATATGCCCCGTTAAAAATGGCAGTATCCCATTTATGTCATTATTTTTACTTCATATTACTGTTTGCATTCGAAAGTTTTACGTTACGCCACGATCTTTTTCGTCAGATGCATCCAGTTTAAACAATTCACGTGATTGGTCAACTCATATTATCACGGTAATAGTGTGCTGCACGAGCAACCAATCAGGGATAAGAAGAAAGTTCCAGTCGTAAAGCTTGCGGTTAGGAGGCGTGTACAATTTTCCTTGAGCGCAGCTGTCAACTAGATCGTGGCGTAACGTGAAACTTAACACTCAACTGCAAACAATTATATTTGCCGTGTATACTCGCCTATTAGTCGATCTTTGGGGAGTCACTTTTTGGTCCTAAACCCTGTTTCTGACTTATAGGCGAGTCATACAGAGATTGGCATTTTTTTGGACCGTGAAATGTAGCATTATGTAAAGGTTTCTTACAATTATTTAAGAACAAAGTCTGTAAATGTATAATCATTTATGCATTCAAAGATTATACATAAAGTACAAATGTTTACTTATTGTGTATTATTTTGCTTCCTGTCAGTTTATCTCTATATAACCCATACCCTTCTATTCTGGCATAGTGTTCTAATGATTTATATAGTGTAAGCATACTATGCCGAAAGTTTACAATTTATTAATACATGTATTTTAGAAATTCATCATTCCCATCGTTAATAACCAAACACGTCCAAATATAAGTTTCAATGTTCTAAAAGACGATTTGATTCTATGAAACAGAAATAGTACTTAATAAGAGTAAAATACAGTTTTGGTATATACTTTATTATAAATTTCCAGCTAACTCTAGTGCCATCTGATGGCTGCTTTCGGTTTGGATTGTACAGTATTAGATTATATATTTCCAGCTAACTCTAGCGCCGTCTGGTGGATGGCCTCAGCTTGGATTGTACAGTATTAGATTAAATATTTCCAGCTAACTCTAGCGCCGTCTGGTGGATGGCCTCAGCTTGGATTGTACAGTATTAGATTATATATTTCCAGCTAACTCTAGTGCTGACTGGTGGCTGCTCTCCTCTTGGATTGGTGCCAATGACCTGACAGAGGAAGGGACATTTGTTTGGAGTACAAGCGGAAATCATCTTAATTACACAAACTGGCTTTCGGGTCAGCCCGACAACTTCCTGGGAAATGAGAACTGTGTACAAGTTACTAATAACGGGATCTGGAACGATATGGGGTGTGGGCTCCCCATTCCATTCTTATGTAAAGCAACTGCCTTTTGGAAATGATGAAAAGACTATTTTGAAAAAAATTAATTTTGGTCAATGTATTTAACTGTAATGGTTTTTTTTTTAAATTAAAGAGAACTGACTTATTTTTTATTTTTTTTCATTTTTATTTTTGAAAAGAACATCTATTCTTAACACGTGGTGTTTTACATTCAGGAAAAGCAAAATATCCTCAAAAGTAAATATTTTTATCTCTAAAAATTAATTTAAATTTTAAAAAACTAAGAAAAACTCTCTTCATTTATAATAATTATTAGAGCATTTATTTATATTCTTCACCATAGTGTTAAATTTTTGTTTTTTCTTAGAGGGTTTAGATAACTTCAAAACATGACATCACAACTGCATCAAAACAAAAATAAGGAGAATGTGATTACGGCACAGCTTTTATCCAGATACTAATTACTGTGGTTGAGAGGCAAATACTAAATATGTTATTTGTGCTTTATTAGAGAAAATGTGCTTTAATCAGGTCTACTGATTTTATAGTCGTGTGTTTTTCTTAGCTATAGACAAGGAGCCATGTCCTAACATATAATTTCTTAAAAGTTCTACAAATTTACCGTGATTCTTCATCCTGAAAGAATCAGTACTCCTTAAAATTTTCACTTGGCCTGGAAAAGATAATCAAAAGGAATTTGTATTGAGAGCCATTTTAGATTGATTGTTGCAAGAGTATAGAAGTACTGACCAGGTTTACTCCTAATCTGAGAAAAAAATAAACAAAGATCCGAATAAAAGACTTGAACTGTGGCTCTATAAGACATTTAATTTAACCCTAGCCTTAGCTGAACTACGCTTTAGATAGCTTTAAAAACTATGCTAGACAAAATAACGATTATTTGCCGATAAAAGTATTTCTGTATAAGTTAGACTTAACTGGTACAAGCTAGCTCAAGGCACTTTTTAACGTAAACGATATCAATCTCCTTTAAAGTGTAAAAATCTTCATCGTGCAATTCATCATTTGTCCATAAAGGAGTTCTTTTGGGAGAAATATGCATTTTTAACCCAATTAATAAGAAAACAAATTTATTACATAACAATCATGGAAAGAAAAAAAATTATCTATTAACAAAACTATTTGTATTTTTGAACATCAAATGTAATTCTGTGCTTAGTTGTCCATTTTCATGGTATTAAATTGTCCTTCAATATGTACAGGGTATTAGTTGAGCGTCTTTATAAAATTTTAGTTTTAAATAATAAATATGACAGTAACCTATCAGTGTTTTCTATTTTTTCTATTGAATTTGGTACATTTAAAAAGATGATTATTTAACATTTAAATGTTGCTTAGTTCTATGTAGGGTTCTTTCCTACGGCGCCGCTGGAGGGCCAGGTAAAAAAAAAATTATTTGTTCGGACAAATTAGAAATTCGTTCGGACGAATTGGTTATTTGTTCGGACGAATTAAATATTTGTTAGGACAAATAAGTTATTTGTTCGGACGAATTAGATATTCGTTCGGACGAATTAGATATTCATTCGGACAAATTAGAAATTCGTTCGGACGAATTAGTTATTTGTTCGGACGAATTAGATATTTGTATGGACTTGTGAGTTATTTGTTCGTACAAATTAGATATTTGTTCGGACGAATTAGATATTCGTTCGGACAAATTAGAAATTCGTTCGGACAAATTAGAAATTCGTTCGGACGAATAAGTTATTTGTTCGGACAAATTAGATATTTGTTCGGACGAACTAGATATTCGTTCGGACAAATTAGAAAGTCGTTCGGACGAATTAGTTATTTGTTCGGACGAATTAGATATTCGTTCGGACAAATTAGAAATTCGTTCGGACAAATAAGTTATTTGTGCGGACAAACTAGAAATTCGTTCGGACAAATAAGTTATTTGTACGGACGAATT